TTCGTTTGCGCTTTACAATATTGTTATATTAAATTTATGTTAAAGGTGACTAAAGCATGAGCAACTATTAATTGATTGTTTCCGATACTAACTTTTATCAGTTTGGTCATAGCGGAGCTCTCGCGGGCGCGAAGCACCCGCCAGCGGAGCACCATTGATAAGAAAATTTGGTAAACTATCCATCCGAGAAAATTTGGATATGACGTCAGCGTACTCGGTCCGTCCGTACACTCTCTGGGGGTGATGGAAGGGAATCAAGTGTCAGCCCGTCGTGGGAGGAGTATATTATAAATCATGCGATGTATTTGTGCAACCTGCGTGTTTCTTGGCGGGAAAGCGCGCAAGAAATTGCGTGGCCAAGTCGTCGCGTTCAAAGACTTGTTTACTTTAAAACTTGTCTTCAAGTACAGTACAGCCACAAAAAACGTAAACTTGTATTTCTTACCTTGGAATAGCCGTGAGGAGTTAAAATTTCACACACAACTAGCTTCAGCATTCAGTTTACACATGTAAAGCTATCGACTGCTCAACGCTGTTTTCTCCCATGTAATAACGAAAATGGAGGCTTAGTTCATGGGCCCAGTTATCGGCTAACGAGCCCAGTTCTCGGCCACAAAAGAGTGCACTCGATTCCTCAGAATAAACAACGCTTTATTACCATTTTTTGTTGTTGAATCACTTATAAGGCTTGTGTTTTAATATTTCGATTACAAATTATCCTTAAAGAGCTTTGTTTCATGTTAGAAAAGGAAGTTTTTTTGCACACCTAGTTTTTCTCTTAAGTGCAGTCAAGCGACGCTAAAAAAGAGTTGGGTATTTTAAACACGGTTTAAGTCAGAACTCATAGTTTTAATTCATATCTACTGTCAAAACACTTCTTTCTTCCATTCTTGCCACGGCGGATGAAATTGCATTTAAAATTTCGGTTCCTCTGCCATCAAAAAACTCCATTCAAAACTATGAGCGCTTTTTGGTGTTGAAGGCAAGCAGGGTGGCCGAGAATAGGCAAATACGCAAAAGTACTAAGAAATATTGAGGAGTGAATTTAGGTCAAAGAATAAAACAGGCCAGCAAAAGTTTATATTTAACAGATAGCTTTATCACTCTACGTTTTTTATGCCAAGAATTGGCTCATTTGGGGCCTCTATACGGATAAAATATAAACTTCAATTAAAAATGTAATTCGAGTAGCCGTAAACAAACACGTTTTCGGGAAACCAAATTCACCTACCTTCGCGTCACCTCGACGTGCTCACAGTATATGGTAGCTGTAAACTCAAAACTCGGCAGGACGAAAGACATGGAATCAACTACCTCTGGAAACAATTGCTTTTTATTCAGATTCATTTGTGGCTCGAAAAATAAACGTTGGACAAAAAGTGGCTGAGAACTGGGCCCCATACTGTATTTTAAGCATTAGGATTTGTGACCGTAGTGCTCAGTTTCTAGAAAACTGTTTCGAAAACTTTTTATGGCAACAAACAATAGCGGATTTAACTCAACCTACATGTTTGCTTGTAAGTGAAGAGCGACGGGAAATAGAAAGAAGCGGAAAGGAGTAGAGTAAGAATTAATAGGCGAAGAGGATTCATGTGGAAAATTTATGTAGCATCTGATAGCTGAAGCTGACAAAGTTTTGCGTTATCTGGTGATGTTTTTACCTGTCCTGTTTGCACTGGATCTACAGAATGAAATACAACCGCTATCAACATTCTTTGGCATTCTTGGCTGGCTTGTTTATTGGGTTGTGATTGAGAAATACGCCGCTCGACAAAAAGAAATCGGAAATCATCATTAAAAAATAAGCTACTCCAAGAGAGGATAAAGGGGACAGAGAAGGTATCCCCCATACACACCCTATTCCATAGGTAATTCGTCTCGAGTTATTTTTAACACCACAGATCTCAAGGGGGATTAGACAACAGCCAATAACATAGCGCGAATGTGTTCCGCGTGGATGACCCACGCTCAGAAGTACGCGTCCTTCACGAATTGACGCGGAACAAACTGGCGTAAGACGCGGAGAGCGATATTGCTATTCGTTTTGTCGACGAAAACGACTACAGAGAGATTTCTGCTAAAGCTGTGTCAGCGAAATGGAAATTAAAAAAGAATCGCCCTTCCTCTCTTTTATAGATTACGACAACTTCGAGTTAAACTGATTTCACGGGTTGTCAAAAAGTCCAGCGATTACCTTTTCCCAGGTGAGCGCCGACTCATTTCGCTATAATATTCAGGAATGCTCTCGATCTCTTTACGCTTTCATTGCCTTTCGTCCGACATGTTTTGCACGGCGTTTAGTCATGCGAAACCTCCACGAAACCTCCACGCAGCGCGCGAGGTAACTTTATGCCGATTCTAAAAATAACTCGAGACGAATTACCTATGGAATAGGGTGTGTATGGGGGATACCTTCTCTGTCCCCTTTATCCTCTCTTGGCTACTCTTAGTAAGCTTAATTTACTTCACCTTGCTGGAGTATGCGAAAAGTCTTAATTAATTGATGGGTTTCCGAGCTGCATCTCGACCGGGGTGAGCTTGAGTAATTATATTGCATTTGATGGGCTTTTTTTTCTGGTCTCATGTTTATGCCCTCATTTTTTGCACAATTGTAAGATTTATATTAAGACAATTTATCTGACCTAGTAAATTAGTAAAGAACTGAAAAAGTCTTTAGACATTTTCTGACCGCGACTAGAAAGAAAACGTTCTGACTAACAGTTTAGTTATTCTATTGTTTGTAAAAGGAAAGCTTTGAGCGATGTTCTTGCCTGGAGTTCACGTTGAAAAATTACAGCAAACACAGCGAAGGTGGCTTAAAACTTAAGGCTATATCTGCAAGGTTTTATTCGCGACTTTAATAGGATACTCAGAGATACTTCACTCTCAATACACGTCTTCGTAAATAAAAAATTGTAGCCCTTTTAAATGTTTCGTTGAATTATATTTCTTGTCATGATTAGAAGTAAAATGCAAACGAAAATGATTCTGAGACCTCTTCCTCATTACCAGCGTTCATTCAAATACTCAGCAGTTCGCATTGTAAGTTTTGGCGCTTGGCAAAATTTAGATTTGGCTATTGGACGGGTGATTTTGTAAATTGAATTAATTTTTTTTTTCGAACGTTTTTGCTCAAACCCCATTATTACCCTGCGTACTACATAACGACAGATTGACCTGACTGAACAGTTCCGTCTAATGGTGAATTCTCTATATAAAATAAAGGTGATTTTGCTTGGGAAGAATTTGTTTTCCACGCCTTATCTACTGTTGGCCAAAGGTGATTTCTTTTTATCAGGTGTACAAATAAAGCTATTAACTGGAAGTAAGATTTTAGATGTTGCTTCATTCTTGCACTGTTTGCAAATTATTTTTTCTCTTAAGTCACCCAGCCTCAGCCTTAAACGTCCTATGGATCTCCCCAGTTTGATTAAGTTATAAATTTATTAACTAGAGCTACGCTTTTAGCCCTGGCTAAATCTAAATATTATATTTTCCTTTTAAATGGCACAGACCATAGGCCAAAACAAAACAGCAGCAAAACAATACGACATTCACAGCAACAAGAAGCCAAGAGTGTTCGCTGACGAACCGCCGTCAGCCAACGAAACTTTTTTTGGCGCGTTGTCACAGGGACTTTGCGCTGATTGACTAGTTTGCATTGCCTATTATATTTTCTGGCATTTGACTGGCTGAGACCAGCTGTCCTATTTCTCTTAAACTGGACAGTTTGCCTATTTGTAAAGGAAAGCCCTATCTGAAACTATCCAAATTAATCCTTAATTGGACAGTTCGTTAAAATTAAAGAAATATAGCTTTACTGACAATATCAGATTAACTAACAGCTATATAATTAATGACAGAAATTATAATCTAACTGGATTACAGCTACGGGGTCATGCACCTTGCAGACTTCCGGTGAAGAAGTTAAGATGTCTGTAACACAAAAGGAGAAAAGTAAGAGTATTTGTATGGAAGATATCCAAAAAAATATCATTTCTTACCATTCCTCCAGTTTCACAACTAATCCACAACAACGACGCCGAAATTTACGCTTCATAGCGTCTTGTTCCTGTTAATAAACACTTAAAACAAGGGCTTTCAATGTCACTTACGAAGGATGACGCCCACGAGTAGCGTAAGTAAGCGCTTGTCGAGGCGAGCACAAGTTCAATCTCTGCCGTCAGTCAGGCTTTTCATACATTCTCTTAAATGGAATCCAATGGGAAGCCACCAACTTCCTTTCCCCGACAGTTTTTCCTTTTTACTAAGTTAGGAAGGGAGAATACTGTCTGTGTCCAAAGAGATTTTTAAAAGAATTAAAAAGAACCTCCTAACTTACTGTAAAGTCGGGTCAAACATTTTTTGGGCAAGTTCCAATTTAAAAAACCTTTTTTCGAAAGTTGATGAAAAGTTTGAAGACAAAGGGGGATCTTTACAAAACCACGTGAAGTGAACTGGGTCTATAAAAGGTCGAAATCCACTTACCAAGCCAAAAAAGCAAACAAGAAAAATACCCGTCCTTATGCAGCAGATCTTATTGAAAGAATCTGACAAAACTAAGATTAAAAAAAAAAACATATATAACTAGTGCATACTTGTATAGTTTTGTAGTCCAAAATGACCTTTCATTTTTTTAAACTATTTATCGTAATTATATTTTTCGGAATATTATTATTACACGTTTAAAACACGAGATAATCATCTGAACAAGCAGGTGATCACGGTGATGGCATATCGGACAAATCGGATTTTTTTAATCTGGCTTCCGCTTTCCATAAAGTAGAAAAGTTTCGATGAAACTGTCCGTAAAAAGGTGTTTTGGTTAAGGAACGCGAAGAGAGGCAGCTAAGAACTTGAAGTAAAGTCTTATGTAAATAGTTAAAAAAAAAACGTTTGTTGAAAGTGAAGCACATAATAGCCAGCTCATTGAAACCAGCTATAACAGGAACGGCACAAGGACCGTTTTATGAAACCAAAATATATCGCTTGACATTCACATGACGCTGTTTCTTTCCTTTTTTATTAGAAGCGGTGTTTGCAACATCTTTAATACCATGATGGCGTTCAATAGCGGATTACACCTTTTTATGTTGCTGCCTTGTGTTTATTACTGTGATGTTATTTTCGCCGAGAATAAATCCTCATTTAATTACCCTGTTGGCGATCCACGAAACTGCCCTTTAACGAGAGGAGTTTTTCGTTTCGAGGTACTACCGGGAGGCGGATGGGACAACCTAAGAAATGTGCACATGGGAGCTGTTTCTGTGACGAATAACTACTCAAAATGTAAAACCTCTGACGATGGCAAGTATTTGATCCCTGATGATATTTTTCTTTACCCTGTAAAGAAAAGCAAAATGGAAGCGTTCTCCGAACTTTACGACCACTGGAACAATTATTCTTCGACCACCACAAAATCTATCAACGCCAAAGTTTCGGGAAAGTTTAAGTCTGGTCCCATTAGCGGTTCGTTTTCAGCTGAGTTCGAATCAGTTAAGAAACATCAGGTGGAAGACAAAGCTGTAACAACTCGAGTTGAAATGCGTCACGTCTTGTACACCGCCAAACTTCAACCTGATAGCGCTCTCCAGCCTGCGTTTAAATCGTGTTTACTTGAAATCGCGTCCCATCTACAGCACAACAACACCGCCTATGCTAATTTTTTGGCGCAGATACTGGTTCGCGACTTCGGAACACACTTTATCACTAGTGTCAATGCTGGTGCAGTTCTATCCAAGGTAGACCACTTAGCGAAAAAGTTTGTTGCTGATTTTACAGGGGATAAGAGTAAAATCACCGCAGCCGCAAGCGCGTCCTTTTTTAGAGCCTATGGCGGAAAGGCTAGCTACAGTCAGACGGGCGATAAACAGGATTTAGATCAGTACACGAAGAACACCGTTTACTCAACCATGTATACATTTGGTGGGCCACCTTTCAGAGTTAACTTTACGATAAATCAATGGGAAGATCAATTGCTAGACGAGCTTGTAGCAGTTGACAGGTCAGGTGACCCGTTGAATTACGCTGTAACCCCCGGAAGTCTTCCTGAGATGTCGGACGAGTTAGCTTTTAAATTGGCTGACGTCGTTGAAAACGCTATAAAGCAATACTATAAGCACAACACTATCAAGGGATGTACGAAAAGGGACTCGCCTAACTTCAGTTTTCAAGCTAATCTCGATGATGGATCTTGTGAAAGTCCCACAAACAGTTACACTTTCGGTGGCGTATATCAAACGTGCTCATTCGCTGGGTCTCCGGCGGGTGATCCGTGTGGGCCCCTGCTTCAAAAGAACCCAATTACTGCTGATTACAAATGCAGTGATGAGTATGAGCCTGTATTGGTTCATCAGGGACGCACTCCTCAAAACTGCCACAGAGACTGTAACAGCTGCTGGCTTTTCTTTAGTTGCTGCAATACAAACTGTGGGTACGCGTCCTATTCGACTTACTGGTGTGTAGCGAAGGGCAAGGTACCTGCCAACACAGGATATCTTTTTGGGGGGCTGTACAGCAAGGTGTTGAAGAATCCAGTCACACAAGATCACAGCTGCCCACTGAAGTTTTATGCACTGCGTTTTGGAGCTACAATGCAAGTATGCGTAAGTGATGACTATGAGCTTGGCTTTCAGAATTCGGTTCCCTTTGGTGGTTTCTTCAGCTGCTGTGCCGGTAACCCCCTGGGCGTCAAAAATTCTGCAGACAGCGTTAAACAAGGTAATTATCATGTCATGTTAAATGATTGAGTTCCTTTAAGATACTTTATCCTTCTATCCTTTAATTATGTTCCTCGTTAAACACTGTTCAGCAGGATATGATTTATAGCCGCCAGAAGGAAAAATCTGGCGGGCAAGAACTCAATTTGATGCACAAATATGTCTGTCAGAAGATACTTGACTTATCTTTGAAGGGCAGTGCGATCGCGAGAGGCCCTCATTAAGCCAGCTGCCAATAGACAGGGGCACCCAACGACGGTTTCCTCCTAAATGCATTGAGAACACTTTTTGAGGCTATTCAGAGCACTTTTAGATCTCTAGAAATGCATGCTTTGTGGAACTATAAAACTTGTAACTGTTCGGTCACCCTAAGGAAACTTAAGCCTTTTCGAAATTATTAGGGCTCTAGTATTACTTCCCTGAAAATTTTGGACGTAATTTTACGTTTTACGAAAGTGAGAATTTTTCTTATTCCTCTCTACATCGCGTTTTTGAATCCGAAAATTTTAGGTTTCCTTTTTACTACGAAAAATAGCCCAACCTGGGGAATAAAATGTGAAAAATTAGACTTCAGAAAATCGTAGCGGATTTATTGGAAAAGCTTCGAAAATTGTACATGAATAGAATCGCCATCTACAAATTTTTAGCCGTGCTCAAGCAATACAAAATTCTAGGCAATATTTGCTTCTCCGAACAGACATTTTACAGAAAACAGTCGTTGGGTGCCCCTGAATAACGACAAACCAGTAGCTTATCCGTATCCTTCCCATAACGCCACGCGTGCCGCCTAAGAACCAGCTGTAACGATGATAAGGGTTCCACCGAATTCCAAACGTCTGAGCGTTTTTCATTTTCAGTATTTAATGGAATTTTACTCCCAAGTAAATCCATTTTGGCAAATGGTGCTGGTAATTCTTCAGTTTCAGTTTTTGAATGCTTAGAACATTTAAGATAACTTTCAAAACGTTCAGTAAATTCAAAGTGTGTTATCATGAACTTCGACACAAGATGTATACACGTTTATGCATTATTAACCAAGATTGTTAGGTCAAGATGGCTGGATATTGGCCAAACTTAAGTTTTTTTTTTTGCGTATTTGTGGGTCGGGACGAAGAGACAAAGAAGAACGATGCCAACCTATATGTTGCGGGATCGAAGCGACAAATCCCGAGCGGGCAAGATGAGCCCTTCTTGCCTGCTTGGGTAGCCAATCAAAATACAGATTTCTCTTCATCTTGCTTGCTTGGGTAGCCAATCAGAACTTAGGGTTCTCACCATCTTACCTGCTTGCGGATGAAGCCATATAATAATACAATATCAATCCCTTGACTTTGACCCCTGTACATAAGAAAAGCCGCCGCCGCCGAAAAGACAGCTGTGACTAGGTGGTCATGTTATTAAAACTTTAAACTTAATTTTTCTTTTCAACAGGTGGTTCAAACTTGGAGATGTTTATAAGCCAATCCGGTCCATCTGGTTGGCCGAAATCCTGTCCAACCGGTTATTCTCATCATCTGGGTGCCATCGAACAAGATTGCGAGATAAACTTTTGCGTGAAGTCTAATGTATTCAACAGTCACGGGTTACCAATCATCAAGAGACCCCCCTATTCTGATGCGCCGAAAGTTCTCAATTACTCTGTACCTATGCTGTTGGTTAACGAAGACAATGGTCAAATTTGGTTCAAACCCTCAGGAAATAAACCACAATGGTTGTTCGCGACTAAAAGGTAATGCTGATGCTAAATTAAGTACGTGACTGTATATTAGGTGGAGAGAGGCGCTTCAGTCTTTCTTAAGGTATGGTAATGCTGAAATCGCTTCTACATCTATTTATTTTAGGGAACAACATGTCTATTTTTTTTCTATTTTTTTATTTTTTTCCCAGTGGCTTTCGATTGCTCCCCTTCCAAAAACAATTCATGGTCTATGACGATGTGCACGCGAAATTCGCTCAAGATCGAGTTAATTTGTTTCGTTTGTTTAGTTAGCGGCGGATGAGATTTTTTCTATTCGGTTGTATTGATGATTAGAAACAAATACTGTCTTAAAATTTAGTTTTGTTTCTCATGTTAAGGTCATATCTTCAATGCTCCAATGTTTTTCGAAAGTTCTTAGAATTCATTCGGAACGGTATTTTATTATGGATGTTAGAACCTACTACGTATTGTGGTGTTGTTTTTACCGCGCCAACCAGCCAGATCACGTTGAACTTAGATTTGAAAACCACCCTAATGCAGTTAAGTCTTCAATGACTTCAGCTGACTAGTTGGCTTAATTGGTGGAGCGCTGCACCGCTATCGCGGAGGTCAAGGGTTCGAATCCAGTATAAGCATGGATTTTTTTTTCAGGCTTTCTTTTCGTAACTGCGGGAGTTGCGTTTGTAACTGCGATGGTCTCCTTTCATATCATTCTTCGGCTCGCAGTTCATGATTTCCATCTATTCACGACTTCAATGCATGATATAATTATCACGCTCTTTGACTACCTGCTCGGGACTGAAGGGAGTGTCAGACGTTACAGAAACATTTTCGTGACCAGACAAGTTACCAAGACTCGAGCTCGATAAACGGGTCCCAGGTTAAAAAATCTGGTAGAAGAATTATATATCCCTAGGTGTTTACAGCTTACTTTTCATCTCATTAAAGCTCTTTTCTTTTTACTTAGCACCGTTGAGGCATATAGAAAACAGGTAAACCTGGAACGTCACGCCATTATAGGAATAGCCACAGACGACGTCGCTCTTGCTACGCATGACAAACAGAAGTCTTCCAAGAGTTCCAGTCATAGCATGAATGCTGGGACAGCGGCTGGTATTACATTTGGCGTCACGGCATTGGCTGGATTATTGATTGCTGTCATGGTGATTGGCTGGCGCCGTCATAAGAGCGTGAACAGAGAAAGCAGCGACTTGAGAGAGCCACTGAGCTCTCTCGGGAATTATGGTGCTGTCCATGACGAAGGGAGTCCCAGAGTTTGATTCAGTACAAAATCAGGATACAGAGTGCCTTTCTCCCTCCTCCCGCAGACCGTTATCATTAAACAAAGGATTACAAGACAAGCTTGAAAATAAGCGCGCGTTGGTCGATAGGAAGAGGAAAAAAGGCTTTTGTAATGTTTTCCTCGCATTTTCTTTTACATACCCTCTTAAAGCACATGGCAGGAGAAAACAAGCCTCTACAGAAGCCCACGTACCTATGCACAGCGGTCTTCCAAGGAGATATTTGATTTAACTCAGTGATTTTGAGACACGATATGCTATGCTTTGGTCCGAAACTGTAACGAATCGTACGCGAGTGGAATAGCTTTGCGGCCAATTTACTTAGGGCTGTTCACCTTGCAGTGGATATTTGGTAATTTTTATAACGTCAATAATTTTAAGTAAGTTGTACTATGGGGCATTCCTGGTAGCAATTATTGTTATCGCCATTTTTCCTTTTCAATAAAGAGGGTCTAAAATATTAATTATTTTCCCAGTTTCAGTTCACGACTGAATTTTCACACTTTTTGGTCATCTTGATCGTATGGCGAGAGAGATCCTCGGATAGTCAATGACTGAGAATGAAAAATTACAATGCCATTATTTCTTTCTTTTTACGTGTACTGCTTGTAAAGCTAAAAGAGTTTCGAATTCGAGCGAAAAAATATGACATCTTCTCTGTATATTTTGTCCGGTCAAAGTGAATGGCGACCGAGAACACTTGCCGTGTACCATACGTATTTTACTTAGTTTGGAGAGAAATTAAGAAATATGCAAAAATTCAGTTACCTATAGTTAATTTCCAAATATTTTAGACAAATTTTAATTGCACACATTTTAGGCATGCTACTGATGAACAGTTGCGGCTTTTAGATATTTCTAGCAACAACAATTAGCCGTCTGTCCTCTTTGAATTTGTACAGTCATATAATTCCAGTTCCAGTGCCGTGCTTATGGGAAGCTTAAACAAACAAACACAGCGGACGGAACGGCAAACGACAGAGGGCTGGCTGACGTTCGGCGTGCGCCGTTAGCTCGGTGCTGAGAATCTAACTTTGACAAAGCCCTAAGAACGCCTCGTTGATAGCTTGTGCCTCTTTCTAGTGACGCGTATTGTGACTTGTCGACGGACCAAGAAGATCCGGGTGAAACTCTAGTCGTGTTAAAAATATAACATGCACAAAGCAAATCTGTTGTTGACAAAGTGATCATATTGTTTCCAGGGCCGTACCTAATTTTTGTCTGCGGGGGCAAACTCCGCACACCTTCAAAGGGGTCTCCCGTATACAGACAGGGTTTCTAGTTGGACGTTTTGTTTTCACCCTTATACAGAGGGTTGCCTCTAAAACCTTTAAGGAAACAAACCAAAATGATGCTTTTTGTTTTAATTGTCATGATTTATTATGGCATAAACACCTTGTTTAGTTTGAAATTGCCCCCGAGGTCTCTGCTACACAATGATGATTTATATATATATCATCTTTAGCTCAAGCTATGGATGGTTTCGAAAATGGGTTGAAAGCTTTTGTTAGTTTGAACAGAAATTGGCTTGAAGTAACTGAGCTAAAATTGCAGGTTTCGGTATCAGAATACCAAGTCTCAAAAACGAGTCTCTATTAGGCTGTTCTAGATTCTTCACCAATTTGACTTCATGTCATAGATCTCTTTTGGAGTGGGAATGAAGTCCGTTCCGCGATGAATTAACAGCATAGCAAGGCCACTTAATCGACCTTCTGTAATTGATGACCGAGTCCATAACTTTAGACGGCGTAGTGCTGAGAAGGAGCGTTCGCAACTGACTGCTCCGATGCTTCTTCAGTCAATCATATCAAAAAGCCCTCCAAAAATAAGAGTTCCGTCGACGCTATTTTGCACAACGCTGCCGATGGTTTGCGAAAACCGAATCTAAAGTCAAATGATAAATTCTTTCAACTGTATCAAACGTACCTTCCCTGCTAGTCGATTCCTCACTTGTCTGGTTTTCATCATTGTTCTCATCGTTGTTCTCATCATTGGAGCTATCGATTTTTAAAAGTTAAGCTTAATCACATAGAGAATTCAATCACTGAACGATTAAATTGCCATGATGGTTTGTCCAACCTAAAAAGCTGTGAAGTGGCTCACCGAATTTCATACTACAAAGAGCTAAGAATGAACACAGCAACCAAAACGGGCATCTATTAAATGTATTAAATAATACACGTTGTAGGTTGATACTTCCCTTTTTTGGCGTCAAAGAAGTCCATTATACCTCGTTGAGGGGGAAGCCGGGCGCTTTCTTCCCGAAATTTTCCCAGCGGGGATTGAGAGAGAAACGTTTTGCAAACGTTGGCAAGAAACACGCGTCAACTGTTTCCCGCAAAATACTAAACCACAGCCAGCCCAAATTACATAATCATTATTGTCATAACTCGTACTGGCTTTTGCCTCGAAAGAATTTCCAAAATAATCATTTGGAATGTACATTGAAGGAAGATTTTTCAGTCAATTAGTCGGTTTTCTTGAGATTTTGGACCAATATAGCTACAAAAAATAGCCCAGCAAAATCAAACACTATTTATTACTCACTAGTGCACAAATTAACCAGCGCCATTTTAACGGAAAATGTCAGTGGTGGGGCCCTCGGCTCAAACTCCTTCAACAAAAATTATCGGGGCATCTTTTCTTTGCTAAAAGGACATTGAAAAAACTTAAAGTTAAATCCCGGCCTTATAGTCGTCTTCCAATCTAAAGGTCATTATGCAGTATCATACCATGGATTCTATTATCCATGATCAAACCAAGGCCGCGCGTTCGAACAACTGCTCGCGCACTGAGATGCCAACTGATTTATGACGCAAGCCGTACACGCGATCTTCCTTAACTAAAAATCAAAACGGTGATGGAAGCTCTTCCAAACGAGCTACTGTCCCATATTTTCGGTTTTTTACATCCCATTTACGACAATTTAGCTCGTCTGTCGCTTGTATGTAAGCGGTGGAAGGCGGTCATAGAAGAAACACCTTCACTTTGGAAATGTATACACTTCACGCGAGCGTATCCTTTTTTCATAACGAAAAATGCCAAGCATAGAGAGGTTCTTCGACATTGCCTTTTGAAGTTTGGACGTTACGTTACGTGTTTAAGGGATCATCCTATTACAAGAACATTCGCAGAACCAAGCCTACGCGACATTCTTCCTAACTTGTCAAATTTAACGTGTTTAGATGTCCCTCTTTTAGAATGGGAACCTCGATTCTTGCAATCCTTGACTTGCGCAAGCACGCTGGAGGAATTGAATCTGACAGAATACCTTCTCTCAGAGCCACCAAAAATACAATGGCTGTTTCAGCAGCCAGATTCACTAAAAAAGAACTTCCTTACGCCTCAGCATTTACAGATGATCCTCCTTAGATTTCCTCGTCTCAAAATTTTGAAACTTGCACTTGACTGTATTGCGGTTCCGCCTCCCACTTTAACAGCTTTTCTGAACAAGACGAATATAACAGAGTTAGAGCTTTCAGGTTTTGGACTCACACCATCTCTGTCCCATCATTTTATTCTCAACCGCGATATGTGTTTGAGAACGACTGCTTCTTCTCAACGACTCGCATCTTTGATAACGCGTTTGGAGCTTAGAACTTGTCCACTTTTTTACAGCAGCGACGACCTGCAGTCAATGCTAAAACTCATGAAGTCACTTCGCCATCTTTTCGTTGGAGCTGGCTTGATTCACCGGGACCCTAAGAGCCTCCTATCTATTGAATCTTCCACCCTGATTACACTGGGTATAGACGGCCTTCCAACGCTGAGAATGCAGTGTCTTCGTTGCAATACACCTAATTTAAGAGAATTCAAGCTAGCTAATTGCCGTGATATGACAGCTGTGTATGTGTATTCAACAAGCTTAGAATCCATGTGTTTACGAGATCTTTACAGTGTTTATAACTTGCAGACCACATCGATTCGGTTGAACCATTTGGAGTTATGGACATGCCCTGAAATGCCTGTTACAGCTTTACGAAATTTTCTGAAGGAGCATCAGACCATACAAAAACTCTCTCTTATTGGCGGACTGACGGGTCTTACCTTATATGGCTGCATGTGCCCTCATCTAAGCGAACTGAAAATTATGTTGTTTGAAGTTCAATGGTTTAAACTCGGAAGTATAAAGATCGACTGTCCTTCCTTAAAGCGTTTGTACTGCGATGGAAATTGGCGAAATCCTTTCACTAGAACTCCAGACGACTTTTCTGGATTTCCTCGTGGTCTGTCAACCTGCTCTATTTTCATACGAAGCGGAAAACTGCAATACGTGTGGATTAACTTGCCCAATGCGAGCACAATTAGCGTTAAATGTAAGCAGCTTGACAATATGAATGTAACAATTGGCGAGGAAGCAAGCTGCCTTAAGGAGTCAATGGAGTTTGAAGTCATCGCTGACAAAATAATTTGTCTCCACACAACGAACTGCAAGTTTTCACGCTATCATCTCCAAGCAACGGATATTGGGACGGTGACGCTGCGGCAATGCGAAATATACAGCGATGAATCAATACCACAGCTTATTGTTCATACAAAATCAATCAGTAAGTTAATACTGGACAATTGTCACAATATGGAATTTGCAGAGCTTCGTGTCAAACCTAAAAAAGCTGCTCGTCACGTGTACATTTACGATTGCGACCGTTTGCGAAGCATTGCGATAACGCGTACTGGAAAGTCACTTCCAAACATTTCCATCGTTAATTGTAAGAATCTCCAAGGTGTCGCATCCGGAAGGCAAGATGACTTTTCAAACGTTTTTATCACTGATTGTCCTTTATTTAACATTCCCAAACTTCAACAAAACCGTAAAAACAACTGCTTCACATTTGCTAAGAAAATGACTCCCCTGAACAGCTAGGTGACTGGTTTGGGATAGTTTGCTATGGTGTATTTGCTCAAGATCGACTTCTAATCTTGTGTATGTATAAGTTGTCATTATGTGCTAATCGAGTTTGCTAATAAACACCAACGTCATCTTTTCTTTAGATTCTGTAAACGAATACATCCAGCTGCTTCAAATATTAAAAGTAATTTTGGAAGAGTTGAATGACTGAAAACACGAAAAAAAAGACACGCTTACAACGTTCTGCATGTTGGTGCGGACCTTGACCTCATGAATTGTCCATCTCTTCTTCTTCTTCTTCCTATCTTCTTCTTCTTCCTCCTCTTCTTCTTCTCTCTGTTAACAGTGTTCTGTTCGTTGGACTAACACAGCAAAAACGGGGACTCTGCAAGTCCCCCTGGGGAATTTACTACACTAAAAGGATATAACCCGCTGGTTTGACGGTGGCGGCCGAAAAAGTTACCTTTATCGGGTTGGAGGTATACTGGATATGGAAAGGTGCCTATTCTAAGTTGTTTAAAAAAATGGGATTTTTTTTTGGCATTTCTTGTCCTGATAAATACTAATTTAAATTATCGTTGATAATAATAATTATAATTGTAAATTATAATTTAATCACTTATATTGCGCAAGTATTCATAAAAACGATCAAATGTGCATTACATTGGTAATAAAAGCATAAAAAAACTATTTACAATACTAAAAACAACAAGAAATATACACAACTACAATACAAATCTTAAATATCGATATGCAAATAGCTAAAATTCATTTTTAACGATAAGCAAACTAAAAAGGGTGCGTTTAAAAGTATATACAGGTACAGAATGTTGCGAAGCTCGCGCGGTTATAAACATTCCATAACTTGGGCGTAGCCACCTGGAAGGATCTTAATAGGGCAAATATTAATGCCCTTGGCAGCTCTTGCTAGTCTACATGCGATGCGCTTAAATAATAATGGAATAATGCAAATTATCTTTTTAAAAAAATAACAGCAAAAAATCCTAACTAGCATGCAAGGGGTAATCGGTTGGCTGCTTTCAAGAATGACAGACGCTGACCACTCAGCCATTCTGCTCCCTCCAAAGTCCTACCAGCTTGGAGGGAAATAATGCCCTGGGATAAGAAAGCCTACACGTCGCTTTTCTAATGTGACTTATGGTTGCACAATGAACTCCTTATTCCATGATGGCCTTGATTTTTCAATAAGTTACTTTCACAGCCAAATTCTGGAACGCGCATGGGGAACATTAACCGTATCACTTTTGATTCAACTTCTTCCACCGGCTAATTTTGTCACATTAATTGGTGTGTTTTTTGTAAATTTGCTTTTACGTTTGGTTGTTTGTTTTTTTGTTGCTGTTGTTGTTTTGGTTTAACTTCGTTTGAATTCAGTTTCGTTAAAAGAAATTAGCTTCCATTCATTTTACGTTAGCTCATACAAACATGGTGGCAAAAAACGCTACCCTATGAAATCGTGGCTGAACAAAGTCTATGTACGGTTACACTTATAAGTTATAAATTTATTTTCCAGAAATATCAACGTTAATGCATTATTTAACAAAAGCAATACAGCGACTAAAAGTAAAACAATAATAATACATAAATAATTACTAAAACTTCAAATGAACAGCTGAAGGCTTATTGGTATAAAAGTTGCATGTTGGAAGTATTTCTACATATGCATCTCCCCTCAGTGGGTTAAGTTAAAAACTAGTTTTAGAACCTTTTATTATTCATTCAAAATATTTCCCAGATCCTGATTGGCTAAAAGCACACGCATAACTCACCATCACCAGCTACTGATGACCAAATTTGGAAGAATTTTGCGATTAATCAACCGATGACGTCAAAAGTGCAGCTTCCTCGCAGATTAATGCATCGTTAACCGGGAAGACCCGAGGACGAGGTTGAGTTGTTTTGGTTATGAAGACAAAAATGGCGGACATTTCACTCGTTTCAAGAGTAGGAACTAGGCGAAATAATAGCTAAAAACATGACAAGAACAGCAAGAAGGCAACTCGAAGGGCGACATCTGCTATTTCGGGAATATTTAGTTTTCGGACCTGAACAACCCTAAACGTGCACTATCAAAGATGAACTTAACATCGATGGAAGTAAGCATGTTTTAGCTATGTTTTAAACTAGGAATTATTTTGAATGAATAATAAAACAATTATTGAATTCGGCTTTCGTATTATATGATTGACAAATATATTCCATGTTGCCGTGCGTCTGTTCAGTAATAGATCACAGATGACGTCAAAATGTCGTAAAAACAAAGAAGTGGCACACGAGCCCCAGGCGAGTGTGTCACTGTTGTTTTTACCACATTTTGACGTCCTCTGTGATCTATTACTGAACAGACCCACGGCAACATGGAATCTATTTGTTTTATACAATGATCAGAAAAGAAAATGACCGATACACATACCTGCCTCGAACCGCTTGACCTTTTGAGGATTTGTGCTAGTTTAGCCATTTTTTAAGTCCCAAACCCAACTTTTCATCTTAGCTTCTTCTTTATCTTACTTGTGTACAGTTTCTTCGAAAAGTTTTTCACCGTCTTTTCTTGCTCAAAGAAGAATAATAGCGAAAACATTTTGCAAAACAGCGAGTCTCTCGTAGCGAAGACACACGATGGCAACTGTTGTGAAGATTTCTTGTAGTTTAGGCATTTTCAAGCAGTCAATAGCTTTTTTGGTCTCCGTTTCTCCATTTTTCTTCTTTGTAAATAGCTCCTGCTAAACTTTTTCCGAAGCTTTCACTTGCCTCAATCCGAAATAATCTCACAAACATTTTCAAAACCGCGTGTCATGTTGAACAAAACAAAGAAAACAAGTTTCCCGTGACGTCATCCATGTATCTGTACTCTAATAGATCATGGGCAACGACCAATCACAGCACGCGTAGCATTCACATCATTGTATAAAGAATTATGGAGACCGAGGAGGGTGTTATCCGCCTTTGCCTACGCCGGGCCTCGACGGATAACACCTCGATCAACACTCCTCGATCTTCTTCATAAGAAACTCAGCCTCATTCATTTATTGTTAAATAATTTATATCATAAACTCACTAACATTTGACAAGTGGTCTTCACAGATTTGTTTACAAAAGATTTCAAGTACAGTCCCTGATGAGTTTGGAAAACTCATTTCATAGTTTCAGCACCGCAACAGTAAAAGTTGACCGTGAGAATGGGTCTAAGTTGAACCCAACTGCACTAATGGGAAAACTATAGGTGTTCAAGATACACAAAATTTGTATGTTATTCGTAAACAGGCCTCTCCATGGACAGGATCCTTTACTGTGAAAAAAATTTTCTTAGTTTGAAAGTTGCATTAGTTCCTTTTGCAATGTAAACATGGATTACAGAAAACGACACAAATTCTGCTAAGCTATTCAATAATGATAGGCCTTATGCTGGCCTTTATTCTTTCAGTAACTTAGCAGCCAAATTCTGGAACGTACTTTGAGATCACTATCGAACCATTCTTGATTTGAATTCTTTCCACCGGTTAATTTTGTCAAACACACTGCTGTGTTTTGTGTAAATTTTCGGCTTTTCGTTATAAACGCTGATCCAGAAATTCGAGGCTAAACAAAGTTTAGGTGATGAGTATGTTAAATTTTGTACAAAATTTATTCAATAAATTTAGTATGCGAAAACGTCAACGTATATAATAAATTTTAAAATGTGCATTATAACAAGTAAAAGAAAAACAATAAATAATTACTTAACCGACAAATGAAACGTTATAATATATATACCTGGTATATAACTGGTAACCTTGTAATATATGTAGTCCAAACGTGTGTATCAATGAGTTAAGTTAATAAAAACTTGTTTTAAAAATTGAAAATTTAGTATAAAATCACTAATTGATACAGTTAATACAAATATGAGCGGTCACAAAAAAGGCGTGACCGTGTTCGAGTACTAATGCAAGTACAGTCCCTGTTGCGTTTGGAAAACTCATTTCGTAGTTTCCGCACCGAAAAGCTACGTAACGTGTCTAATGTTGTTATGCGAATACTCCAAACGACTTTGTTATGACCATTGAGAAACGTATTAGCCACTTTGAAGATAAAAGCAAGACTTGGTCGGTGTTGAAACAAACTGCGAAGCATTTCGCCGTAGTCAAACGAGAGAAATTTGCAAAAGTTAAGCAAAGTAATTCAAAGCTAAGGTTGCTACTTTCGCTGTCAAACGTTTAAGTTAATACCAATATCTTTTAGTTTTCTGAACTTTCTTAAAGTTTACTAAAAAAAAGTTTTTCAAGTGCTTGAAAACCGATGTTAATGTCGGCGCCATTTTCCAGCATAATTTTCTTTTAGCGCGAGGCGATTTTAATGGAAAACAGCTCAAATTTCTGAGAAAAATGAAACAATAGTTATATTATCGAACTGACTTTTACGCCGTTGCCCATTTCTTTTCACTAACTGGTGAATGAAATACCAGCAATTAAAACGAAAAAAAAAGACTTATACGTTTGACTGCGGTGAATGCGCAGCACAGCCTTGCGCGCGTAGCCTTGTAATATCCAATAACCTCAGAACCACCACTGTGGTGCAATTCGTTACAACGTCGAACCAGTCTCCACAAGCAACCACAAAATAGACAATACGTATGAAATGGCCCATAACTTAGCTGCTAACTGAGATTTTAGAAGGCCCTAGTCGTTCCTCTTCCAAGCGTTTTTTGATATTTGTTAAGCGGATCTCGTTTAGTACTTCTGATCCCACCGTTGAAGGCTTTGAAATATCGGAATGCCTTCTACTTGCGGGACGGCAACGGCAGCATATCATTGCTTTAATCTTGACCCTAAATTGCTGGTTGACTAGGGCATACACAAATGGATTAATGGCGGAGTTGAACAAGACCAATGTTCCAGTTATCACATACGACAAGTCACTGCCATCGTATATAAAGGTAAACGTGGTTAAGATGTAGTTAATTGAGTCAGCGAGCCAACATACTCCAAAGATGACACTAACAGTGCCTACCATCAAGGTGACACGCTTTCTTACCCTCACCAAAACCTGTTGAAAAACAGTTAAGAGGTGGTAAATTTCAACTTACTCACACGTAAAACTTCTCACCTCTCTCGAATCTTAAAACAATCGATCGCCAGCTATCAGGGGCACCCAACGACTGTTTTCTGTAAAATATCTGTTCGTAGAAGTAAATATCGCCTAGAATTTTCTATCACTTGAGGACGGCTAAAAGTTGCCAGGTTACTGTTCCATTCATATACAATTTTCGAAGCTTATCTAATAAATCCCCTACGATTTTCTGAAATTTAATTTTCACATTTTACTTCCCAAGTTAGGCTATTTTTCTGAGAAAAAAGGAAACCTAAAATTTTAGGATTCAAAAATGTGATGGAGAGAGGAATCAGAAAACTCCTGTACTCAAGCCGTTATAATTTTGGAAAGACTCAAGTTCCCCTAAGATGACCGAACAGATACAAATTTGTCAGCGCCACTTAGAATCTCGTACTTAGAAGCTCATCAAAGTACTCTGGATAGCCTAAAATTGTTTTCAATGTATTTAGGAGGAAACTGTCGTTGGGTACCCCTGAGCTATGCGGGGTTGCTACTTCTTGTGAGGCCACCCCCATATCCAAATCTCAGATAAAAAGGCCGGTGCGACTGAAATATCACATCCGCTTTTTTTTCTTTACTTTTCCCAATCTCGTCCCTATTACTTATCGTTTCATTTGGTTCATTAGGTCTGTGATACATGTTCATTAATAATAGTAATAACAATAATAATAATAATAATAATAATAGTTAGTACAGCAGAGAATTATTTATTTTAAAATGACGTGGGTGATGGTAAGCAAGATATTCAAAAATTCGTCAAACCTGTTGTGTTTTGTGTTGTCCATGCTTAAACCACAAAGAATACACAACTCGTGTGTAAAGAACGATCATAAAAGAAACAGGAAGGAAAGCTGTGAACAGGAACCAAGTCACAGAATAGGCCTTCCCTATCCACTCTTCAGGGTAAACTTCAGTGCACTCATCTTCCTCCTCGTCATATTCGCCAAAGAAGAACATTGGAATGTTCATAATGACTCCAAAAATCCAAGAACAAATTATAATCACCTGAAAATACACCAAAATTATTCACTGACTTATTTTGAAAATGAATGATTCAGCTCCACCAGGTTGTGCCCTTTATGGTACGCATCTGTTGAACATGCTTACACTATTTTCTGTGCCGCCTAGGTTGTGCTGCCTCTCGCTTACATAACAGGTACTCTTGCACCATACAATTGAGTAATTTCTAAATGGGATTTCCGCATTTGATTTGAAAATTAACGTTTTTTTATTATTATTATTATTTTTTTACCATGTTCAGTCATTTATCCCTCTATTCAACCGTCTTATCTTTTACACTTCTCGTTTGTGGCATTACTTACATACATACATACATACTTTATTGCATAGCTCCCCCTTAGGGGCTCTTCCGCCATACATACACGAATTAAAATAAAATGAAATAAACTAGAAAACTGTTTACATTTCAATGATAAAATAACGAATTTCTATAGATAATAATGAACGTTAATTTTAAAGGCTATTTACATTTCAATAATAAAAAAAACTATATATGAATTAAAGAGATATTTAAAAATTCTCTTTTTAAAAGCGTTAAAATTTCCAGTGTCTCTCATATCTTTAGCTATACTGTTATAAAGTTTTGCCCCACAGTAGCTGAAAGTCTTTTGGCTAGTGGCTAGCCTATAGCGAGGCAACGTAAGATCTTGTTTTTCTCATTGATGAGGTATTCAGTGTTCAATCGTGTCGAGTCACAAACAAACCTCACGGCTTTCCAAAGAAAAAGTCACTTAGTGTATGACATTCCCCACACACACCTTCAGTTTCCGAGTAGTAAGCTTTAACCTGGTACCAAGGGGATGTATCACAGCAAAGTAACGCTCAGTTGCTATGGTAACCAGTGTAGCAACCGACGCAGCACCTCCAATATAGGCCGCTGTCGCACCCGTCACTAATCTGCATAGCGCCGTGCCAAAAACGCCATTTGGGTGTGCAGAGGGGCTGAGAAAAATGTATTGTGCTAGGAAGAAAGTGGCTGCGGTCATGTCAGCAACTGCTAGGTTCATGAGTAGATAGTTTATTGGAGTTCTGGGGAACATAAACGAAAAAATGCAATAAATACAAAGTTTATATTATGACGCACGAATATTTTTGTGCTGTTTTTGAGACAAACAGATAGTCTTGCACTTATATTTCTATTCATGCTCATAGTAAGTCGTCGCTTCTGGGAGGCACCGCAAGTTTGCTGGTGGAGCTTAAAACGCGACGATTTTCAGTTCCAAAGGTCCATTTCTAGCCTTAGGCGTCTTATCGGTTGGTCTCCTTATCTTATCAATTCATTATGTGCTCATTTTCTTTATCTACATATTTTTGATTACAAATTGGTGAATGAAGAGTGGTTTCGCATTTGTTAAACTTCCTTATCGGTATTTGGAGTTGTATTACTCAGTTGTGTTTAAACAGGTGTACACCCTTGTCGTCTTCTGTACTGGCTTTGTTTCCATATGTTCTTGAAATAATTCATGGTCTCCGCCACATCGCAGACGTACAGTAGACGCAATTTTTACACTAAAAGACTCTCATTAAAACATGGTATGTTTGTGATCGCTATCAGAATAAAAGGAGAAAACATTTGTCTGCGGTCTCTTGAAACGTATCTGAATTCGTCGGAAACAGTTGGCTTCGTTCCCATCGTGTTCCAAACCTTCGCAGACTGTTGCACACCACAAGGAAATCAAGCTTACCGTATTGACTTGAATTAACGCCCCACCCAATCGGAAGAATGCGGTGTCTACGAGAGTATTACAAGGAAAACATTGTTCCAGCTTTGTAATTATAGGCATAATTAGTCTTTTTGACTTACTGTAAAGCGCATTTGATCATGCACCAGGGAAAATTGTCCTTTTTTGAATTATTTATAATTGAAATTTGTGATCTAAACAATGCAGACCGTATCGATTCTATCTCAGTAAAAAAGCAAGACATTAACTTGTTGGCTTCCCACTAAAGCTTGCAAGTATAATGTAAGTGTACTTGGAATTTACTTTGAGTGTGAAGGGGTAAAATGTACCTACGTCGACTTTACTTAGTCACCATAGAAACGTTTGTAGTTCAAAGAAGAGCCGAAGTTTGCAGCCAAGTATGGTGTACACTACACTTGACAACACACTTACACAATAAGAAATCGAAGCCAAGTGCACGATGTGCACGTGCTCGTACAGTGGTTCCAAGATTCTAACGAACGGACAGATAAACATTCACTAGTGGATCCATGTCTCGGTTAGGCTCGATTTCCACCGTCTCCCGGGTCCGGTCTTTGATCCTCCCCGAAGATGAGTGTGGGCTCATTTTCCCGAACAGCGGCTGGTAATCGAGCCTATGTCTCGGTTAACTAAGAGCATTGCGGAAGAGGCTAAGACCAAGCCCTACGGCGATTTTTTGCCGAAAAGCACGTTGTTGACCCAGGTTGTTGAGCCATTCTAGAGAAACGCAGAGGATGACGTCGCTTGATTTTTTTTTTTTCTGTACCGCTTCTAAGTACTCTTAAGAAAACCAAATGGGTAAGCATGTCTTTCAGGGTCAAAACCCTTTGAGTTCAAAGTAACGAAAAAATAAATACGAGACTAGAACAAATTTTTTCCAGCGCAAACAGCTTTTAGTTCAAGTAATATACTTTGTCACTAAGTGTGAAGCCATATTTCCTGTAGTAGAGAGACTTAAGATTTCCGAGTGCACTTTAATTAAGTCAAGTTAGGAAACTAATCTCGCTTCTAGTGTGAAGCCAGCAATTGGAGCTTTAAACATGTCTCTCTTTTACATAATTATATCTGCAAATAATTATCGTAATTGTTCTCATAAGACTCATAAGAAATGGGATTTTGCCAAAAAAAAAACGGCGTCCTCGAATAAACGCCGCATCTACAAACTAAAAATTTAATAAACGCCGCGGCGTTTAATCGAATAAAGCATACCTCATATCTTTGTTCTTCAGTATAGCTACGCACACTAGAGAGTTGCCTACAATATTCAAGATGACCAAAACAGACTGCACCGTTGTTATGGCGATCTTTGGCGATTCAGAGATCGTGTACACATACATGGTATTGAAAGTGAGGCCGATTCTTAGTATAAAGGTTTCTTCTCACCTGGTGATTAAGAAAAGGACACGGTCACCATTAGCTCAAACGTTTTTAAATCAATAAGTAAAGAAAAAACAGTGGTTAATTGCAGGTTAGCCTGAACTGATCATTATCCTTTCATGAGAAACCACAATAAATGTTACAGAACAAAAAAGGAACAAGAGAGGGAGGTTAAACAGAGAAATCGCGCAGAAAAAAAAAGCCAAATGAAAAGGGGGAAAAAAAGACACTACCTTACCTGGCAGGAAAGTGGGTTTATCAAATTGATGGGTTTCTGCACATACCCTTCTATAAAGACTTATTGTGCATCTTCGTTTTTCATTAACATCATTTTGTTATTCAGTCATCAGTATTAAAAATTCATGCCCGCTTAGTTTTTAAATGTAACTGGCTCATCAGTTAAGCTGCGAAAATTAGATACGATGGAATAGCTATGGAATAGATGTTATTTAGTAGAAAGGAAACTTTCAAGAAATACAAGCAATTTCTTTCCACCTTGCTGGTGCACAATCAGAGTTAACTAAAGATGGAATTAAATATAGTAAATGAAATATGCAGAACTTCGAATTCCCTCCTACGAAGACGTCGATCCGTTTTACATTAAGCCCATTTCCTCTAGACAGCAGAAACTAATTTTTTCCGCATAGCGAGGATAATTGTGAGTGATTGAAACCGTCGCAGGCTGAGTTCAAAATTTGCGATTAAATTGTTGCAAAGATGAGTTGACGTGTAAATATGTTGAAATTATTGTGGATTGCAGACTAGAATTAAAACATGACAGACTTTTGAACTGCAAAGGAAGGATTTCAAAGAAGACTAGAGAGATTAAAATCGAAATTTACAGATTGAGAGGTATACATAAAAAAGTGATTAAAGCTCTTTTATACTACAGTTCGTCTATTCAATGTATTTATTGCCAAAGTGTGTTTTCTTCTGTAATATCCTCTCCACTGACTTCCTCGTATGCGCCTCCTCACTTACCCCACTAAACTGAAACGACCGGCCCAAAAAGACTTATATTTAGTCTAGTCTAGTTGTAAATAATTTATTTCTTAATGTATTTTATTATCAGGAGATAAACTAGAAAGGGATAACCTCTTTTATCTCCTTTTCACTTTCCGATTTGGATTTGTGAATAAACAGTTATTATTATTATTATTATACCGAGAAGACTGCCACTGAGCAAAGTAGATCAGGACAACTGAACGATAACGATGTTTTTAAAAAAATGCCAACGAAAACAACTGGGTTTATTCATGATCTATACTCTAAAAAATTAAAAATTACTTCAATTCAACCACAGTCTTGGACAAGTCGAGATTCAAAAGCACCCAAATCACCTTTTAATTAAAGAAAATTCTTGAAGTTTCAGCTTAAGACAATCTGGTTTTTTGTACGATAAGCAAGCTATACTGATGAGCAGAAATTGTTAGCGTTGTTGCTCAATTTTTTCGCTACTGAATGTTCACGACTTCAAGAACTTTTTAGACTGATTTGTGAAGTCTTAATTAGACAAATTTTGCTGAAGCTTTTAGTAAAAACTATTTCTTCATTGAAAAGGTGTGAAAACATGTTACTCGTGTGAACATTTATCCAATCAAATACATTTGAAAAGTACTCACTTTTTTTGCTGCGTCAATGATGCTCGCGTAGCTCAAGGTTATGTAAAGCATATTCCCCTTGTCTTATGACCAAAAGGTTATTATTGTGTTCACCAAAATGTATATTATGGCAAATAATGACCTCCTGTTTCAATTTTATGACCTGCTCTCCACTTATTCAAAATTGTCACCCGTTGTTAACAATGGAAAGTTGCCTTAAACGCAAATATTCGTTTTCTTGAGGAAGGCACTGAAATCACCATAACAATTTCTTTCTTTGGAATTGACCTTGATTTCAGTCATTCGATTCCATTTACTATTAAGCTTGCAAAAGAAAAACTTAGTTACTTATGTTTGAGAAAACACAACTAGCACTTCTTTGTAAATATGTTAAAACTGCTGCCAATCAAACTTACGCTAACGACACGCTTAGCCGATAAAGACCTGGAAATTGCCCTATTCGACCAATCGTGTTCAAGTTATTTTGCCCTGTTCGTCTCCAACATTAAGAAATAAAGGACCTCCTCGTAAGCAATTCGAAATTGTGTAATTATAATTGCCCTACATTTTACGATTCACATTTATTTCAATTCACCATCTTGATATAACATAACCGTCGGAGAACTCAGTAACGAATTTTAAAGAACGAGCGGGCCATGCGAACACGCTGCGAATTTCCATAGTGTTTGCTGCGAGTGTTTTCATCCAGAATTTGACAAAAAAATCAATCATATGATGTTTCTTAAAGTACTACTTAAATTTCCGGCGGTTCTTCTGGTGGCTTCGGCAGAGTCATTATCTTGAAAGGCTCACCGCATTTATGAAAGACAGTTGAATAAATGAGGTGACTTGATATTAGCCTTTCAAGATAATAACTCTGCCCAAGCCACCAGTAAAACCGTCGGAGAAATAATTTAACGAACGCATTGCTTGAAAATTATTGAAACTAGTAACAATGATAGCGACAAGTAGTCGCAGCCACTGAAGGTAAGGTCATGATAAGAGATTGAAGATTGATTGACTAAAGTTCCGGGTTTTAATCTTGTTCTTTAATTGTTTCCGTTTCCGATAGTCTCCTCATTGTTTGTTTTTTTTGTTTGTTTTTTTTTGTTTGTTTATATCGTTTGAAAAAGTTGTAAAAACTCCGAAGGTGGAGTTAAAATAACCCATTACACTGAAGTTTTCTTCCAAAAAAGAATTATTTTCGTAAAGATGCTACAAAGGAAGTTTGAAAATAACTCAGTCTACTAGGTTTATTTTCAACCCCATCGTTGGAGTGAATATGAAGATGAAACAACAGACCCTAAAACTAAGTTACTTGTCTAAAACTTCAACTTTGTTTTTAGAATAAAAACTCGTTCAAAATTACGTCGAAATTGTGCTTTCAAAATAGCCACGGATTACTGAGCTTCAGCTGGCTTGTTATGTCATTGAATATGCGTCAGTACTACATTTTCCCTTCCTTATATCTCAATAATTTTAACTCAAAAAATGTTTCATTTTGCTCCATGTTCCCTGGGGGAAAGGTATAACTAAACATTTCTAATTTCCTTTTTACCTTCCTTTAGAATTCTTTTGATGTAAGATAAGTTTCTCTTGCTAACCCTTGATTTCTTATACAACCTACGCCACGATGTTTGCCTCGATAGGCTTAGCGATAGCCAATATCAGGCTGAAACGCATTAGGAACAAAAACTAGTTTGACTACTGGTTAAGACGTTGTAAACAAGAAAAATACCTGGAATAAATATGAGGCTTTGTTGATAACATTAGTCCCGATTACTTGCCGGATGAACTTTCAAACTAGCTTGTCTGAAACACTGAATAAATAGTGCTCCTCTCTAGTAATTTGTCTTGTCCTATCTTGATATAAATACAAAGTGCTTCATAACGCAAGAGAAAAAAAGTGGGAAAAATAAGGTAATCTCACTGCTCAAGAAAAATCCTCCGAAAATAAAAGAAGAAAGGAAATGGAATTATTCTGCCGCCTGGCAGGTAAATAGCTTCTCTTCCGCTTGCCAGATATCGAAGCGACAACAGTTTAACCATTAACGTATCACTGAAGTGTTCAAACATAGATACTCACTTTTTTGATCATCAAAGCATGAAATAGACAGCCCCCACTGGAAACAAGATCGAGCGCAGCTCATTGTCTTATAATTTCACCTGTCCACGTATTAATCGTATTTTGAATTTCAGTCCTGACAGAAGTCTATTTGAAAGTGATTTTTGCTCATACTCTGCTATCAGAGTGTGTTCATCAGTTTCAAAACGTCATGTACTTTGGTCTCCTTAGCCTACAAGAAGGGTCTTTATTTGGAGTGGTCAGCGAACAGTGTAGTTTGTGTGGCGTTCGCGCGTGACGTCTCTCGATATCCCCCAAGGAACACCAAAAATGGTTGCGTGATTTTCCAAAATGGAATCACCTGGCTTGTTTAATATGCGAGTTGCCAAGAAAAGATTGGAGTTACTAAAGGCCTAATTAAAACAAAGTGATTAATTTGCTAGCCATTCTGTCACCGAATAAACGGTATATGCAAAATTTACAACCTCATCCTACTACCACGTCAATTTGTTTGACATATCATTTACGAATGGTTCATTACATCTGGAGGGGGAAACAAATATAAATTTTGCTGCTGACGGATAAAAATTGCTGGTAAAGTAAATTGTCGCCAGTTCAGTAAAAATGATACGGTTAGATCATCGCTGAAAAGTTTACGAGAAAATAATAAATTACTTCTGAACACCTGAAATGGTTTCATCGCAGAGTAGATGAGATAAAAATCGAAATTTAATGCAGATTGCGAAGTATACACCTATTCCAATAAAATTGCTCCTGTGAAGCATGATACATGATCAATGTTTCCTGCAGTGCACTGTGGTAGAACCTTTTTGCAAGCGGGATTTTCAGCCCTCTGGACGTTAATTGGAGGAATGAAGACCATTAAACTTTGTTCAAAAGGTGTTAAGAGTGATTTTCTGTAAAATTCGAACTTCGGCCTGACACGTTACCTCATCGATTTGGCTGATTTTTGGCATGTAGTCTTAGAATGGTGTCCTAAATACTGAATGCATATTCTAAGGTTCGAATTCTCTTTGGTTTCAAAGATACAGGAATGACAGTTTTGACGAGGCCTCGAGCGGCCGCCATGTTGATGAACTGAAGGAGATTTACAGTAATCAATTCTAGCCTTATCATTAAAATAACTTAATCGTGACTCATACAGTTGCAAAGAACTATCCTTCCTCCTTTCATTTACGTACTCTTATCTGAAAATGGTTAAGCCTGAGCTACGAACGGCTATAACTTCTCAGAGCACTTTTTCGGTACTTAAAAGGTACACAAATTTGGTAGA